TAAATTAGGATGATAATGAGAGGAAAAACAAGTAAATTAGGATGATAATGAGAGGAGAAACAAGTAAATTAGGATGAGAATGATGGGAGAAACAAGTAAATTAGGATGAGAATGATGGGAGAAACAAGTAAATTAGGATAAGAATGATGGGAGAAACAAGTGAATTAGGATGATAATGAGAGGAAAAACAAGTAAATTAGGATGCTAATGAGAGGAAAAACAAGTAAATTAGGATGAGAATGAGAGGAGAATCAAGTAAATTAGGATGATAATGAGAGGAGAAACAGGATAACCGATGAATACACATTTAAAACCTAAAAATCTATAATTATGACATTTAAACTTTTCTTCTCTTGATTGGGATGGATTTACTTGTTTGTTTGAGCTTTTTTAAAAACTCATTGTTTAGCAAAAATCAATATTCTCGAAAAATTATGAATGAATTTTGAATGTCAATCGACCTAATATTATTTGGAATGCAGATAATAAGTTAAACTTACTTCATTTTGACGAGATTTATTTATGAAAATGAGTAAAAAAAAGGTGTATTTCCAGGCTAAAAATCCATACAATCTGTACAATTGGGAAAAAAATTCGTACAATCAGTACAATTTTAGGGTTAAAAAAATCCGTACATTTTGGCCACCATGTACTTTACTCTGACAAATATTTTCCAAAATCTGAGCCCGAATTAAAAGAATTTGAGCCGCGGCTTAAATATAGATGGTTCCAGTTATATTGTATTCAGTGTTTTAAGATTTAAGCCGGCGCTCAATTGAAATCGGTTTTTGGCGTATTTGAGATGCGGCTCTAATTCATTAAATTCGGACACTGATTAGTTTTCAGGGGATTTTTTACTTTAACTCAATGTTTTAAAACGAATATTTTGATACCCCTCTAGATTTATTTTGACGACTTTCCTCGCTTGAAATTAGTTTTTTAAGTTAATTTCTACACAAAAAACTAAAAACTGAAGGAGTAAGAAAATTGTAAAAAAAATATTGAAAAAAAAATAGAAACAAAGTAAGCTCAAAGACTGGTGCAAAGAATTCCGCATAGTTCCACCCTTAATAACAATATATTGAAATATAAAGGTTCTAACAACAGTTGATGATTCATTACCTTCTGCAACTTTGACTTGAGATGGTCCATGTCTGTCAGAAGGATGGTTGTCTGAGCCTCAAAGTGATCCCTAAATATGTTAACAATAAATTTTCTAAATTGGGTTCTTTAAAACTTCTTTAAAGGGAGCTGAAAGTCCAGTTTATAGATAAAAATGTTGAATGCATTTGATACCAATTCGACGCTATTACGATGTTTCTTTTTCTAAGCAAGAGCAAAAATTATTTTTTAATTCTTTCAGACTGTCCATTTTGACAGATACTTGTTAAAAATCGGTTTTTTAAATCATTAAATAACGACGACTAAAACAAAAACAAAAAATCTACATTAAACTAATTAGTTGTTTAGCCGGTCACTCCCTTTAATTTTACTGAAAAGTTTCAGAAAAGGTCAAACTTGCTCTATTAAAAAACATTTGAGAAATAACTTTATCTTTTTATAAAAAATACATTTTTTTAAAAAGCCCAAAAAAGATTTAACCTGGAGTCCTTGTACTTCTGAATATCTGCAATCATTGTATCTCGGTCTTGGTCATATTTCCTTTGAATATTCTCCATCTAGTTCCAGTTAAAGAATTCAATATATATCAAAACGGCTGAACCAATTGGGTTTAATTTTCGTATGACCTTAAATGACCCAAAGAGAGGTAATATGGTCAGTCAAGAGAAAACAAATTTTGCCCCCAAATTTTTTTAATTTTCTAAAATTAAGACTCCTCAATATTATTTGAATAAAATCCAGGGTATGTATTTTCTACCGTTGAGTTAAACAAGTTTCACATACTTTGAGAATACTTTGTACAGAAATATTTATTAAAAGCAGACAGGCAAGGAGATCATTTTAGATATTTGTTAAAAAATTTCAACAAAAATTCCTATCCTGCCTGGTTTTTCGTGATCTTTTGTCCATCAACAACCTTCCGCAGCTTCTCCAATTCCTAGTACAGTACAGTACAAAAATGTTGCTTTATCCCAATAATTGGATGAAATAATAATTAATTAGACAATTAAGTTTTTTTTCATTAAACCCAGATAGAAGATTCTGATTGTTATGTGTTTCATGTTAAAAGTTTATTCCCATGTTTATTGGACACCCTATGCTTTTTAAGATCGGCATTTTGAAACACCCTTTCTAGTTTCATAATTTATACTTTATTTTTGCATACATTTTACAATTACAACAAAATATCTTAAGGTAGATTAATTTTCAGGAGACACTTCTTGTATTTTTATGGAACTTGAGCTGGGAACATTAGAGTGGTGGATATCGAGATTAATCCTCTCTTTTTGCTAATCTCGTGACTAACATAATCTCGAGATTATCATAGTCTTAAGATTAAATATTTAGATCAACAAATTTGATTCTGGGAACGCCAGATTTGTTCGTTTTTTTGACTAGAAGGGCCTTCACTTAATTTTTTACCTATTTATTTATTAATATATTAGTTAAAATTGGTTACAAAAGAATCTCAAACGTATTATTAAATATTGTTCTTCGCCGATTAATTTTCAAAATGGCCGACAACAAATTCTTAATTTATTAGAAATTGCAGATTTCTCTCATGGGGTAGAATTTATTTTCAAAGCTGTCATTGGTCAATACAATTTACGAACTATATTCCTGCACTCTCATTGGAGAAACCAATGGACGGATATCCAAAGAGAGAGAAAAAGAGTGGATTAAGGACTAAAATGAGAAGTTTCCACAGTGGATATTCGGATTGAGTAGTTGGGATTATTGGTTATCCATTCTAAAGTTCCCAGATCAGAAGACAGAACTTATGTGCTGTGGATCTTGGGATCAAGCATTGATCTCCAACTTAGGCAGATTTACGGATTAACTTTATTCCTTTAAAATATCCTGTGTGGAGTTTAGACCCTGAAAGGATGACCAACTCATTTTGAAAAATCAAGCATTTAAGAGTCATGATACTCCTCACAACAGTTCTGAAATCTGAATTTATAATCAGAACAGAGGCAATTTAAAAGGAAGTGTTAAGGTTTTATGTTGCTTATCACAAAGTTTGATCAATTAAACAAAAATTAATATACTTCAAGAAAAAGTTTAAACCTGTTTTATTGCCTTCTCAGATCTTTCAAGTTCTGAACACTGGGCCAGATAGAATTCTTTCTTCTCCTTAAATTAAAAAAAATACTTTTTAATCCAATCATACTAAATCGGAGCGCCTTGTTTTACATATATTCTAACAGATTTACTCACATCAATACGTTAAAGTTCGTTAACTAGATCGACCCTCACCACCACTTCATACACTATACATATAAACAGTTTGTTTTTAATCTTCATGACAGAAACAATCTTGAGGAATAATAATTGTCTTAAAACATTCTTAAAAAAGTGAATATTTGAATATTATCATTTATCCATATCATGATCTGAGTTCGTTTCCCTTTTGTCCATTTGAAGGCCCAACATTTTTTTATAATCTTTTTTGTTCATTTATTTTCTTGTGGTTTTAACATTTTTTATTATCGATTTTGATGGTTATTATATTGTTAGAACAGACAACAACAGGGTCAACTCAGACCGAAATATATTTTCAATAAAGTGTGGAACTAACTTGTACTTTTTTACTCTACAGAGGTTTGGGCCATTACTACCACCGAATTTTAAGCATGGGACGTAGCGGTGCGGAGGGGGGATAGACAAAACTCTCACGTGGCCGCAGTGCCGGCCCCCTAGCCTGTCCTGGCCGCGGCGCTCGGCCCCCTAGCCTGTGCTAGCCGCAGCGCTTGGCCCCTTAGTCCATCCTAGCCGCAGCGCTCGGCCCAGAATTGTCTTAACCTAACCTAACCCTAAATAATAAAAAGTAAAAGGAGTTTTGTCTATCCCCTCCTCCGTACCGCTATGTCCCATGCCCGAATTTTAAATTGGCTCTAGAGTCTAGGTGACTATATGATAGTGGATTTGGATAGAACTCTTTATAAATCATAAATTGTCTTTTAACTACAATTCAAAGATTCCATTAAAATCTATTTTCACTGTCACAGTAGCAATAATGTTTCCCATTGGATCTCCTGGAAGAAAAATTAAAAAGTATGAAACGAATACAGCCATTATGAGAACTAAATTTCTACCTTTGAATCTTTGAGTTCTGTGGTTAAACTTCTGAGTTCTCTTTTCTTCTCCTCAAGCTCTTTAGTCACCTTGTTCAATCCATCTTGAACCTGAACAAACAGTTCTGGGACCGAATTTAATAAATTTGAGTTGGGACACTGAACTACCTAACGCCCTAGTTCAAATCTTGAATCCCCAGTTCAAAGGTATAGATTCATGAAGGTTTGAATCGGTGATTAAAGATTTAAAACAGCAGTCTGTATATCAGAGACATCTACAATTGATTTAAATTCAGTCTTTGCCTTTTGGTTGAAAAATAATTTCCCCCTCATTCTTAAAAATTAATCATTTCCACAGCAGATCAGAAATTTTTAATTTTGATACAATAAATGAATTTTTGGGTTAAAAAAACAAGAAAGGGAAGGCAAAGAAATATTCCCAATATGATCAAATAATGTTCTTAATTTCATTAATCGTATGTATACCCCTTTTTCACATTATTTAAAGGAATTGATATTAAATACAAAAACAATAAGCTACTGTGGAAACCGACCCTAAGGGTATACAAACTAATTCTCAAGTATGTCTGAATACTGAATTGACATATCTGTATTTTTCCCTGGCCACTTGATTTCAAGGCTTTGAAGTGTCTCCCCTTTTTTACCCATAAAAGGACATCTTAAGGCAAAAAGGACCACAATTTCAATCAGTGCTTAGGATCCATTTAATTTTGATGCGGAAAAAAAGATCCAGATCAAAATCCGGATCCGGATCCAGGTCATTTCATTAAGATTAACTGATTTTTTGTAATTTTTTCACTTATTTTTATACTAAAACTTGATGATGATCCATTCAGAAATGAGGAAATTTTTATAATCTCTTTTTTCCAAAAGTTCAGAGTTGATCCGGATCCGGATCCTAAGCACTGATTTCAATGCTATTAGAAGATACAATATACAGTTTCTGAAAAGAATACAAAAATCAACTGGGATATTAGAATACTTTATGAACAAATAGTTTTCTCTGCAGTGGCTTTATGATCAGGGTTTAGAGGAAGAACTACAGGCAAAATTTCAAGTTTGCATTCATTTAGAGAGTGCCAGATTTACTATAAATCTTTATCCAGGCGATGGGAAGTATATGGTCGTATTTCCATTTTTAAAATAGTAGTAAACCCTACTTAGAAGACTGTGAAATTACATTCTCTGCCTGTGCACGGTGATTTAAAGGTCCATTCTCTCAAGAAAATATCGACGAGAATTTTGCCAATTACTTATTATAAAATAATGCTAACAACAAGTGTTTTATAGTGCTGAAGTGTACATGTATAGGGCTACAGAAAAGAGAGTTAGAGCGGTAAAATATAAACCCAAGGCGTGGCGGCACTTCAAAGTCGACCCTGTCTCAAGAATTGACGAGACTGTTTATAACAAGGCTGAATCTATGTGAAATCCGCAAATAACTACAAACCAAAATTCGAAAATATCAGTTTTTGGATAGACAAAAGTTAATGAAAAGTTATTTTAAATTACGTATACACTCCCATACTGGAATGATGAACAATTATTTACCTGCTTAAGTTGGTCTCCTTTCTCTCTAATATTTCTGCAAAGATTTTCCGCCTCATTTCTAGATTTCATCTCAGCAACCTTCAAATTCGAATTGGAATTGATAGAATGTTGTTTTCTTAAATTCTAAAAAGAGGGAAATATATGATTAACTGTAAATTGTGTGTTCACTGAACAGAAATGTGCGGATTTTTGTGATGTTTCTGCAGCTTTCCTTCAAATCTGTAGATGATGTACAATTTACAATGTGCATCCCAAATTAGTAAACAAAATTCGAATTTGCCTCCCCCCCTTCCTAAACCCCTCCACCTGTTTATCTGCCAGGGCCTTCTTCAAGCTCTCTTCCAGCTGATCTGTGTTCTCTTTGCTCAAGGATTTACCAATCTCTACTTCAGTCCTATGAAAAATAGGCATGTTAACTCTAGCTGTCAGTGACCTATTAACTTAGATATTACTATTAGTCAGACGAGTATCATTGATGGATATGCTACGGAAACCGTAAAGGAATCAAAATTTTTGTTTGCGTAGTTTTAATTCACATGTTTTTATGGATTTAGAAAGACTCCCAATTTCAACTCCCCATCTAACTCCACCTACCCAGCTTTTTACAATTTTAGGCCTAAAAATGCCTAAATCAAAACCTTAGGGTCACTTTTCTCTAGGTCGTATAAACAGGTGACATGACATGTGGGAAATAATTTTTCTTTTCTTTTCTAGACTAAAAATCTCCGCAAGCTAAATTATTAGAAATCCAAGCCTGAAGTCCTGCCTGAATTCTAAGGATTATAGTTGTAGTTCTCAGTTGGCACCAATAAGAGCAAAAAAATTTAAGTTTACTTAAAAATTTTTTTTAAGGGCATACAATGTTTAAATAAACATTTTAGTTTTCCACTTGTTTAAGCAATTATGATTTGAACCTGAGAGTAGATATTTCAGCATCCTTTCCCTTGATCCCCTCTAAGAGGGACTCATACTTATTGGTCATTTCCTGATCAGAAATTATGTTAATTTTGATAAAATATCTGATTATCAAGAATGTACATTATGGAAATTCACGAAGTTCATTTAAGGGACTCTAAGCGTAAATTTACGTGACCCTCCATGCAGAAGAGAATGAACAATTATCAATGGTTCCCTTTAACCTTTTATTGATCAACAAGGGCAGAGAGAGTAGTGAGTTTCCCTTTAATCTTTTATTTTTTAACAAGGGCAGAGAACGTTGCGAGTTTCACTTTAACCTTTTATTGATCAACAAGGACAGAGAACGTCATGAGTTTCCCTTTCACCTTTAATTGATCAACAAGGACAGAGAACGTCTTGAGTTTCCCTTCAACCTTTCATTGATCAACAAGGGCAGAGAACGTCTTGAGTTTCCCTTTAGCCTTTCATTGATCATCAAGGGCAGAGAACGTCTTGAGTTTCCCTTTAGCCTTTCATTGATCAACAAGGGCAGAGAACGTCTTGAGTTTCCCTTTAGCCTTTCATTGATCATCAAGGGCAGAGAACGTCTTGAGTTTCCCTTCAACCTTTTATTGATCAACAAGGACAGAGAACGTCGTGAGTTTCCCTTTAACCTTTATTGATCAACATGGACAGAGAACATTGTGAGTTTCCCTTTAACCTTTCATTGATCATCAAGAGCAGAGAACGTCTTGAGTTTCCCTTTAGCCTTTCATTGATCAACAAGGGCAGAGAACGTCGTGAGTTTCCCTTCAAACTTTTATTGATCAACAAGGACAAAGAACGTCGTGAGTTTCCCTTTAACCTTTATTGATCAACAAGAGCAGAGAACATTGTGAGTTTCCTTTTAACCTTTTATTGATCAACAAGGGCAGAGAACATTGTGAGTTTCCCTTTAACCTTTTATTGATCAACAAGGGCAGAGAACATTGTAAGTTTCCCTTTAACCTTTTATTGACCAACAAGAGCAGAGAACGTCGCGAGTTTATCTCTAAATGGTGTAAAATTACCAGTGAAAACTCGCGACATTTTATGTACAACGCGGTTTCCAAAAATTCATAAGTATTTTTCTTCTACCATCTATGATCTAGCGATTAGCAATTACAAGCATTTCTTCAGATAAAAGGATAAGTCTGTCATCCTAGATCAATCAAAGGTTTAAAGATTACTATTGGGAATATGACACACCTCTCTACAAATGGAAGGTCACTTGAAATTATACCTATAGTCCCTTGAAGATATAAGTTCTAAGAAAGAAAATTTCCTTTAGGACATTTTCCCTTAAGTCGTTATAACTAAATAAGAAGAGAAGAATCCTTCAGGCTAGGTTAGGATCAGCTAATAGACCGTGCACTCCAACTAGGATGTAATTTTAAGTGCCAATTTGGCAATGTTATATTTTGAATGATGGCACTTGGAAAGCTTAAGTTTTTTTAAGAGACTAAACATGATTTCAAGTGACCCTCTGTTGAGAAGAGAACCAATTCACAACAGTACCCTCAAAAGCTTTGTCTGATCACGTATTAAATAGATATCCATATTTTTAAAACCTTTTTTTTGTGGTTTTACTTTAAAAATAGAAATTATCAGAATTTAAACACTTTACAAGCTAGAAAAACAATGATAACTTCCACAAAGGCAGAGTTTTGTAACATATGTTTAAATACACAAAGAAAAACAAAATATAATCAACAGACCTTATAATCCTCATACAGCTGAATATTTTCATTAGTCCTAGTCTCGATACTATCATGTTGGAAACGAACTGAAAATAAATCAATACAACGTAAATGAAGATGCATGCACTAATTGCCCTTCCAAAGGTCAGAACCCATGATAATGGAGTTAGTTTTTTTTAAGTCGTATACGAAAATTTTGTCACATTGGATTGTTTTAGTCACAAATTCTTTAAAAATAATTCCCCCACCCCCCAGATGTTAGGAATGTTTGGCAATTTTTTAACGGTTTAATTTGCTGAAATGAAGAAAATCTAATAGATTCTAGTACAATAGATGGCAACGTAGAATTTGTTCAGTCTAACTAGCTGTATTCTATTGTCACAAGTGTCAATTCAGTTTTTGTGTCCGACAAAATTATTGATAATAGTGATAACTTTAAAAAGTGCTTATCTTACAGTAAAATAAGTGCAATTTACTGTTCTTTATTTACTGTTTTTACACTTTTTATTTAATCTTGAAAAAAATATCAACTAATGTAAGAAAATTTCGTTTTCCTTGTTTTATTTGACACTTGTGACGTTGTGCATAATTTGTTCATTTCTCTGTAGCTACCTATTGCTATTGATCTTCTATTTGGGAAAAATTATTGATTTGTGGAGAAATAAATAAAATTTTGGGTTGAAAGTATCAAAAAGGGTTAAAAAACTTTGCTCTTTTATCCAATTTTTCATTTTTGCCCCAGCATATAAAAAATCACGCTCCCCCTGGTAAATTCGAATTTAATAATCAATAATCCAAGACAATTACTTTAATGCTTAGGATTGTATTTTATGACATTATATTTTCTTTCTCGCAACAGATTTATATGTGAAACTTATTCAGGTAATGATTTGGTCAGTACCTATCTCAGACAGATTTTCTATTTCCTTGAGATTTGCGTCTTTCTCTTGCTCCAACTTCTAAATAAAAATGATAAAAACACAGGACTACAGTATTCTTAAGCAGCAATTAAAAAATTTAATTTAGATCACAAAATTCAAATTAATGATTTCATTTAAAATGAAAAAAAATAAAAACTAGTGTTTTCAAATACAATTAACATAAAATCTTCACCTGTATATGATCCTGATACTTCTTACAGTGCATCTCATATTCCGCCGCTTTCAATTGCCGCTTTTTATTATCCTGAAAACGTCACTTTTAACAGCGCATCTCTTTTGTAGTTACCACTCTTTGGTATCTAATCCTAATTAAGCTACTTATTGCTGATACTTCTGGTTTTCCTAATTACACTACTTATTACTGCTACTTCTTGTTATCCTAATTACACAACTTGTTGCTGCTACTTCATAATATCCAAATTAAACTACTTATTGCTGCTACATCTTGTTATCCTAATTACACTACTTGTTGCTGCTACTTCTTGTTAACCTAATTACACTACTTGTTGCTGCTTCTTCATAATATTTAAATTAAACTACTTATTGCTGCTACTTCTTGTTATCCTAATTACACTACTAGTTGCTGCTACTTCTTTTTAACCTAATTACACTACTTGTTGCTGCTACTTTATATTATCCAAATTAAACTAGTTATTGCTGCTACATCTTGTTATCCTAATTACACTACTTGTTGCTGCTACTTCATAATATCCAAATTAAACTACTAATTGCTGCTACTTTTTGTTATCATAACACTACTTGTAGCTGCTACTTCATGATTAAGCTACTTATTACTCCTACTTCTTGTTTTCCTAATTAAACTACTTATTACCGTTACTTCTTCTTTTCCTAATTACACTACTTATTACTGTTACTTCTTCTTTTCCTAATTACACTACTTATTACTGTTATTTCTTCTTTTCCTAATTACACTACTTATTACTGCTACTTCTTGTTATCCTAATTTCACTACTTATTGCTGCTACTTCTTGTTTTTCTAATCACACTACTTTTTGCTGCTACTTCTTGAATTCCTAATTACGCTACTTATTGCTGCTACTTCTTGTTATCCTAATTACACTACTTATTGCTGCTACTTCTTGTTATCTTAATTACACTACTTATTGCTGCTACTTCTGGTTATCTTTATTACAATACTTATTTCTGCTACTTCTTATCTTTATTACAATACTTGTTGATATTTCTTGTTGTTATCCCTATTACAATAATTTGGACTGCTTGAGTTTGGCGCTTATTTTTCTCTACTTATGAATTAAAAAAACTATTAAATATAGTTGAATTTGTTACCTTGGCTAAATCTGTTGAAAGTTGCTTGGCATGCTCTACAGTTGATTTTCCTGGAAACATTACAATAATTAACGTTAACAACAGTCAAACACAAGTATCTGAATAATTTAGTACAAATCAGTGACGTTACTATTTCCAAGAATGTAATGTAAGGAAAGTTAATTGCAGTTGCGTATACTCTGCGTACATATTGAAACCAGTTCTCTTTGGGCGGAATTTGTAAACAAGAATAGATGCGTCAGTGTTCGTTTAGTATCCGAGGAGGTTAGAAGCATTAAATTTAGATAATTTTGATAATTCACATAATAGTTTCCTATGACCAGAATATTTCATTGATTATTTATGTGAAATATGGATCCCATTTCAGGCTTCGACATCCGTCTTGTGTTTACATTACCGCCCAGTGACAGAACACTGCAGTACAAAATATGCGTATACTTCTGAAATAACTTTCCTTGCATTAATTCCTTGACTATTCTGCTTGAAGCTTCAAAGAGATGTGTTATTTACTAAAACATAATAGAATTTTCTGAATTGCAAGTCGAAGTTTTTTTTTATTACGCGATAATAATAAAAATATATTTTTTGTATAAGATAAACAAATAACCATGTAAACGAACGTGAACAATAGTCGAAATTTTAAAATCTTCATAGTAAAAAAATGGTGCTAAAATTAGCTGGATGTCTTAAAGTTTGGCCAATCAAAGCATACAAGATCTGACCGAAATTTGATATAGGCTAGCTGTGTGCAATATTTTTAAATAATCCACACCCTTAAAAACTGGCTGAGTGTATAAAGATTTACCCTCTAAAAATATCTATGATATCTAATCCTAGGATTCCAAATATGATTTTGTAAAATCTGTTAATACCTATTTCGATGATATTTTTCAGGTTTTGTATTTCCTTCCCCTGTCCGGAAATCCGTTCCTGCCAATCAAAGGGACGTAATTTTAAGCAACCCTTGTCCGAATTTAATGAATTTAAGCCGCGTCTTAATTCCGCCAATAACCGGTTTCAATTGACCCGCGGCTTAAATCTTGAAACATTGAATACAATTTTAAGTGAAACCAACCATACTCAAGCCGCCGCTCAAATTCTTTAAATTCGGCCTCCGGCTCCCAATATTAGAGATGCACGCCCGATTCACAATGGTAACCTATACAACTCTTAGAAGAGTAATATTGTTGAATGTATGTTTTTTTTCTTTCTTAAAGTCACAAGTCAACTTAAAACTACTTAAAGTCAAAGAAACCATTCTCAAAAATGGTAAATTTTCTAGTTTTTGAGGGGACGAAGGTTAAATAGGGATGATGTCTTATACAACCTGTTTGTTTGAAAAAATGTTTGAAACAATGTTTGAAAAAATGTGTAAGAGAATACCATTGTAAATCAGACATGCGTCTCTTCAATCGACTAGAGATTCATGTAAATTTACGTCCAAGGAAAGTTATTAAGAAATAAAAGGTTTCTATATTTCCTATTGAAGGTCGGCTGTAAGCATAATCACAAGTGACCCTCCATGTAAAGATGGCAATGCCCGATTTGTCTGATCAAGTATGAATTAGACATCAATATGAATTAGACAGTATAAATTCAAAAAAATTATCATTTTCAATTGTGATTTCTCTAAAGCAGAAAATCATTTAGAAATTATCAGAATTAGACATATTTAATCTTTAAAAAATGACAATATTTTCTTTATTATTGATCAGATATAGGTTTCATGAGTACCAGTGTGAGTCGGACAGTGACATCCTTGCATATTACGCTTCCTGTCACTTTATTAACGATTTTAAAGGGACTGTAAAGGAAAAATGAAAGAAGGTATAGGCTGAAATCACTTTAGCTCTTGATCGCGACCCAGAAAGTTAAATCTGATGTTCCTGTCTCGAGAAATTGATATCAAACTGTGTCAAATTTTTAAGAAAATTAATAAATATGCAGCAGAACTCCCAACAATAACTGGTCACATGACCAGTATACTGCACTTACTTCGGTGGGAGTTCTGATGACGTTATTCGGAATTACAAATAATATTATCAATTAGATCTATTAAAAATAAAAAATCATAAAATAATAATTGGAGAAAACCTAAGGATTACTTAAGTTTCTCTGTGATATCTTCGTTTTCAGATTGGTTGCGTAAATGCTGAATATGATCTGTTTAACCCTACTGTTTCTATACAAAATTGTATATAATACACAGTTTCTCCAGACAGAAACATCAAATATAACTTTCATGGGTCGCGATCAAGAGCTAAAGTGATTAGTTATCAGCCTATAATAGTATACCCCCTTTCATTTTTCCTTTACAGTCCCTTTAAGGTTGAAATGGTCAAGCGCTGCTGCTAGGATTTATCGGAGGGCAAGCACACTAAAAGGTGCCTTTTGATAATTCAGATTATATTAAATACCCTTGTAAAATTGCACAATATCACATGGGAGGTATGCTTTTGTAGAAGTACCCAACATGTTAAAGGATGAGTGCAGTTTTAAAAAGGCAAAAAGAAAAAGAAAATCCACTTGAATTTATAAATATACGAGACTGGTACAAACTTAATTTTTGAGATAGGATTAATATAACAATTTTTAATAATTTTTCTATGGGTCATAGATGGAGGTTTTTTATTTGACTTAAATAAAGATCATTTTGCTTCTGTTCTCTTGTAAAGAAATTAATTGATTTTAAAAGTAAAAAAAAAAAAAAATTGCACTATCAAGATTTCCTCCAAAATTCCGCAAAGAATGATAATTGACTGAATTATACAGCTACAAGCAGAGTTTTTTTGTATTTTATTTTTTAACCTTTAATTCTTTAATCTCGTTCTTGTGTTTCTCCTCTTCAGCCAAGCACACCTCCTAAGTATGAAAATTAAACATCAGTTCTAGGAGCCGTTTCCACTGAAATAATCAAGTCCAGGATCCGGATCCACAGAAATTATCAGTTCTAGGAGCCGGATCCACTATATCAAACAGTTCTAGGAGCCGGATCCACTATATCAAACACTTCTAGAAGCCGGATCCACTGAAATAACCAGTTCTAGAAGCCGGATCCACTGAAATAATAAATTCTATCCGCCGGATCCACTGGATCGGTCAGTTCTAGGATCTTGCTCCACTGAAATTGTCAGTCTTAGAAGCAACATGAACGTTTCTTAAAGATTCACTATTAAAAAAAGGCAAATTTTCAGATTATTTTTCTTAATTTTTTTTGCTAAAACTTAGGAAAACAATTTTTATTTCTCTTTTTTGAGAGCAAACATTTTTTTAACAATTTTAGGTTGATGTTTTGCCACCGGATCAGGATCCTAAGCACTGTGATAAAGTACAAAACAATTTCCTTAGAACATCAACAACATCAACAACATCAACAACGTCAACAACATCAACAACGTCAACAACATCAACATCAACAACGTCAACAACGTCAACAACGTCAACAACGTCAACAACATCAACAACATCAACAACGTAAACAACATCAACAACATCAACAACATCAACAACATCAACAACATCAACAAAATCAACAACATCTACAACGTCAACAACGTCAACAACATCAACAACGTCAATCAACAACATCTACAACGTCAACAACGTCAACAACATCAACAACGTCGACAACGTCAACAACATCAACAAAGTCAACAACATCAAAAACATCAACAAAATCAACAACCCTCATTTATATTTGTTCCTACCTTCCATTCTTTGCACATATCCACGGTTTTCTTCTGATCTTTCGCCATCTCCTGATTCAACAGCAGGAATTTAATAACTTGAGATGGGAATTTTTAAATCAAGAGAAGTAGTTGAACTCAGTCAGGCAATTTTTACCATTTCTGCGTTCCTTTAGGATTGAATAACATGAATTTAAAGGGTCGCTAAACTGCTTACCGCAGGTTTTAATTTGAATCACCAATTCATATCTCCTGACTCGTTTAACCTTGAATCGGTGGTTCAAATTTAAACCAACAGTGCAGGTAGTTCAACGAAATAGCTCAAATTCATTAAATTCGGTCTGTGACTATCTTAATTTGTTAAGAACTAGGTTTGACAAGTTCAAATACGTCTGCTGACCTAGCCATCTCGACTTAAACCATCCACATCTAGTTCAACTATCTCTCTCTTTCATAGATCCCGGCTTTCGCCAATAGGAAATCAATATTGTTGTTTTAAGTTGTCGTAACTTAAAACTTCAATTCAATTGAATAAAAATGATCATAACTAATAAAATGCTAAAATAATGACAATAAATAAAATAAAAACATTAAAAGCACTAATTTATATTATTGATAAACTTATCAAATTCCTTATTGTTTTCCTTAGAATCTGCTCTCAGCTGTTCCAACTCTAGCGTTCTTGTCTCCAGCATCTGAACAGGACATTGTGACCTTTACGCATGCACATTTCAAAACAAACAGGCTTTTTCTTAAATTGTGTTTATTCTGAAGTAAATGTGCCTCTTACAAAAAACGTTCTGAAACCCCAAATAACGGTCTGAAACCCCAAATAACGTTCTGAAACCCCAAATAACGTTCTGAAACCCCAAATAACGTTCTGAAACCCCAAATAACGGTCTGAAACCCCAAATAACGTTCTGAAACCCCAAATAACGTGCCCATTTTTAAGAGATCGTAGCTTTTGCCAATTTCCAAAAAACATGTTTATACCCCAGTTCCTAATTCTTTAAGAACCTGCTCAGTACAATTATTCCTCAAAAAACATTCTTATTATCAGAGGAACGTTTTAATCCTAAAAACGTGCCTTTTTATTAGACTACTTGTCTCTTTTTAATTGAACACGCGGAATTCTTAAAAAAGTCCTTTATCTCAAACAAACATGCAATATTTTCCGAATGAATTCCATAAAAAAGGTGGATGCTGATTCCCAAATAAACAATACTAATTATTTAAAACGTGCTAATTTCTGGATGATTGAGACCATTAGGGTTCCCAACTGAACGTGATAATCTCCAAATTAACAAAAGGCTATTTATACAAAGTTTTGACAGAATAAATGGACTGTAAGCTTAATTTGAAAGTGACACTCCTTGAAAAGATGGCAATGCCCGATTCAGAACGGTACCCTTAACACCTTGGCCTGATCAAGTATGAAATAGATATTAATATTTAGAGTTTTGAAAAATGATTATTTAAATTGTGGTTTCATACGCGTTCATAAACTGAAGGAAAACATTTAGGAACTATCGGGATCAAACACTTTCAACCCTAGAAAAAATACATCTTTGAAAGGATTAAGGTTTAAGGGTACCATGGTGAATCGGAAAAAGACATCTTTGCATTCAGGGCCACTTTAAGTTACGAATACAATCCCTTTAAGGATTTTCAATTTCCATTTGAAGAGTGACATTTCCCAAATCTCGCATTATTTATACACAATAGGACACAGACCGTGAAACAGAAGGACACAGACCATGAAATGAAAGGACACAGAACGTAAAAAGGAAGGACACAGACCATGAAATGAAAGGACACAGACCGTGAAACAGAAGGACACAGACCATGAAATGAAAGGACACAGAACGTGAAACAGAAGAAAACAGAACGTGAAACAGAAGAAAACAGAACGTGAAACAGAAGAAAACAGAATGTGAAACGAAATGACACAGAACGTGAAACAAAAGGACACAAAACGTGAAACAGAAGGACACAGAACGTGAAACAGAAGAACACAGAACATGAAACAGAAGAACACAGAATGTGAAACAGAAGAAAACAGAACGTGAAACAGGAGAACACAGAACGTGAAACAGAAGGACACAGAACGTGAAACAAAAGGACACAGAACGTAAAACAGAAGGACACAGAACGTGAAACAGAAGAACACAGAACATGAAACAGAAGAAGACAGAATGTGAAACAGAAGAAAACAGAACGTGAAACAGAAGGACACAGAACGTGAAACAGAAGGACACAGAACATGAAACCGAAGGACACAGAACATGAAACAGAAGAACACAGAATGTGAAACAGAAGAAAACAGAACGTGAAACAGAAGGACACAGAACGTGAAACAAAAGGACACAGAACGTGAAACGAAAGGACACAGAACGTGAAACAGAAGGACGCAGAACATGAAACAGAAGAACACAGAATGTGAAACAGAAGAAAACAGAACGTGAAACAGAAGAACACAGAACGTGAAACAGAAGAACAGAACGTAAAACAGGACACAGAACGTGAAACGAAAGAACACAGAACGTGAAACAGAAGAACACAGAAAGTGAAACAGAAGGACATAGAACGTGAAATAGAAAGACACAGAACGTGAAACGAAACGACACAGAAAGTTAAACAGAAATACACAGAAAGTGAAACAAAAGGACACAGAAGTGAAACAGGACACAAAACGTGAAACAGAAGAACAGAACGTAAAACAGAAGGACACGGAACGTGAAACAAAAGGACAGAGATCGTGAAACAGAAGGACACAGAACGTGAAACAGAAAAACACAGAAAGTAAAACAGAAGGACACAGAACGTGAAACATAAGGAAAAAGAACTGTAACGAAAGGACACAGAAAGTTAAACAGAAATACACAGAACGTGAAACAAAAGGACACAGAACGTGAAACAGAAGGACACAGAATGTGTAACGAAAGGACACAGAATGTGAAACAGAAGGACACAGAATGTGAAACAGAAGGACGCAGTACGTAAAACAGGAGGACACCGAACGTGAAAAAAGGACACAATGTGAAAGAAAAGTCACAAAATGTTCAATTTCCAGCCAAATTCCAACCAATGTACCAATACAACCTTCGGAAAAGACCAAAACTCAACTTTAACATGAAAAAGTGAGTAAACCAAGAATTAATTTTAAAAGTCTGCCAAAAATAAACCCATATACCTGCTCTAATTTCTCTTTCTCCATCTTGATCATTTTAATTTTTAAAATTTAAAACTTTAGGTGAGAACGAATATAGTTGTGTTTTTTTACAAAAAATGTATTTAACCATTTCCCAAAATGTAAGTGTTGTGGAAGACGATGCCTGGCCGCATAAAACAAATCCCACAAGATTCAACGGAATGAGATAGAACGGATACGTGGCATTGTACTGATAAACATCTACACGTGTGATATCGATATTTACTCAAGTTCGGAACCCTCTAGTAATAAGTTATAAGAAATATATATACTGGAAGTACTTTATGCGTTTCATTAGAGTTTGACTCACGTCCTCTATAGTGTTATAAAAATCACCGAAAAAAAATAAAGTAAAATTTTTATATATTTTCAAACCGTCATTCACTTAATTTTACAGAAGGATCTGTAATAAATTTTCCTTTGGCTTACCCTAATAAAGAGAATTTAAAAAGAAAAGTTTAAACTAAATTTAAAAAAAACTTTAAAGAAAAATAGAATAATAATAGTTGATTAAAAATGATTTCCTTGAGTTGAAGAAACTCCATTTTGAGAGTCTGGTTCTCAATATTAGTGACAGCAGCAGTCTTAATATTAATATTGACGGACATTATTAACTAACACTATTGACCAATCTTATTGACAGACATTATTAACTAACACAATTGACCAATCTTATTGACCGATATTATTGACCGACATTATTAACTTAAACTATTTACCGACTTTTTGATCGACTTCATTCACTGACTGCAGATATTATTGCTAGAAATTATTAACCGACATTTTGAATTAATATCATTATCTTAGATTTGAGTAATTATATATCTCAATTATGATATTACAAAATACATAACTAATGAATGTTACTGTTCACTACTATGAAATAGCTTCATTTTTAAACAAGATAAATTTCTCCTTTTATACTAATTATTACCTGTATTTTTATACAGAGTGAGTTCCCTTATTTAGATATAAAAATTGACTACCTCCATATTGAGACAAATTGACTACCACTATGATAAAATTGATTATTACATAATTATATCAATGACTACCCACATAAAAATTATGTAAATGACTACCTCCATATTGATATTAATGTCCACCTCCAAATTGATATAAATGACTACCTCTGAAATGATTTTAATGACTGCCTCCACAATGATGTAAATAACATGACTACCTCCACAATGATATAAATGACTACTTCAATAATTATATCAATGACTATCTCCACAAAAATGATGTAAATAACTACCTCCATATTGATATAAATGTCACCTCCAAATTGATATAAATGACTACCTCCACAATGATCTAAATGACTACCTCCATAATGATATAAATAAATGACAATAATATAAATGACTACCTCCACAGTCTACAGTGATATAAATGACTACCTCCGCAGTCCACAATGATATAAATGACTACCTCCACAGTCCACAATGATATAAATGACTACCTCCACAGTCCACAATAATATAAATGACTACCTCCACAGTCCACAATAATATAAATGACTACCTCCACAGTCCACAATAATATAAATGACTACCTCCTCAGTCCACAATGATATAAATGACTACCTCCACAGTCCACAATGATATAAATGACTACCTCCACAGTCTATAATGATATAAATGACTACCTCCACAGTCCACAATGATATAAATGACTACCTCAACAATGATATAAATGACTACCTCTACAAAAATATAAATGACTTCCTCAACAATAATATAAATGACTACCTCAACAATGATATAACTGACTACCTCAACAATGATATAACTGACTACCTCAACAATGATATAAATGACTACCTCTACAATGATATAAATGACTACCTCAACAATAATATGAATGACTACCTCCATTTTGATGATAGTCCTGGCATCCTGTGCAGTAGTCTGCTCCTTCTCCTCCTCCTCCTCCTCCTCCTCATCTTCTTTCACAATTATCAAAACTAGAAAGTTAAAATATATTGTTCAGTGTTCATAAACCATTTTAGACTATCTGTTAGGGCCCCAAAACCAGTATGTTTCCAATCCCCCCCCCCCTGTATAGTGAATATACGTCCCTCCTATCCCCTCCCCCGGTTTGGGATTTATTTAAAAAAAAAACTATATATCAAGGCAAACCTGGATTAGGGTCAGTCTCCATCTTCTCAATCAACCTGCAAAACATTTTGTTTTCATTTAAAAAATTCTTTAACTCACAAATTTAGAACAGTGAGCTATTTTTGGCAAATTAATAACATTAAACATATTCATCTTTAATCGGAATAAAGCGGGGAATGAAGGACATTAAAACAAAAATAGATTTTCAAAATATGTTACCGGATACTTTTCTCTTTCTCTCGTCTCAAATCCTCTTCCCTTTTCATCTCTTCTTCTCTTCTCATCTCATTCTCTTTCTGTTCTTCCATCTGGTCCTGCTGATCTTCTATCTTCTCCTTCTGATCTTCCATCTTCTCCTTGGTACATGGTTTTATATAAATTTTACAAAAAGCTTTCCCCATTACAAAAAGCTCCCCATTACAAAAAGCTTTCCCATTACAAAAGCTTTACCATTACAAAAAGCTTTCCCCATTACAAAAAGCTTTCCCCATTACGAAAAGCTTTCCCCATTACAAAAAGCTTTCTCATTACAAAAGCTTTACCATTACAAAAAAGCTTTCCTTATTACGAAAAGCTTTCCCTTATTACAAAAAGCTTTCCCCATTACAAAAAGCTTTCCCAATTACAAAAAGCTTTCCCCATTACAAAAAGCTTTCCCCATTACAAAAAACTTTCCCCATTACGAAAAGCTTTCCCCATTACAAAAAGTTCTCCCCCTCCACTTAGTACTCCAACAGAAACCCCTCTAAAACATTCAGTATTAAGAGAAAATTGGAGAGGGTGAGAGTTGATCTTTTAAAACTAAATATATAACTATACCTTGAGATTCTCCATCTTCTCCTTGATCCTCTTCATCTCGTACTCCAGCTCAGTGATCATGTTTCTACAATTTCATTAGTTTGGTAATATTATGTTCTTCGAGCGCCAGTATTTTCCGATCGTGTTTATTTTTTAGTTAATAATAAGTTAAGATTAGTATAAGTGAATTTTGTGTAAAAGGTTGGTTACTGGTTTGACAAAATATCAACACTATCACTTTGTACAGATTACCCAAGAACGAACTTGAAAAACCTAATGATTTTTTACTGGACAGAAGAATTTCCCGCAAGATTTAACACGTTAGTACTGAATTCGAACGATTTTTTCAAGCAAACTTTCAAATAACGATATATTTTTACTGAATGAACATTTTTTAAATAAACTTTAAAAAACTGATCGAATTTAACTGAGAAAACGATTTTATTGAACGAAAGATTTTATTAAACGAACGATTTTGCTGAACGAATGATTTACTGAACAAACGATTTTTCTGAACGAATGATTTACTGAACAAACGATTTTTCTGAACGAATGATTTACTGAACAAACGATTTTGCTGAACGAATGATTTACTGAACAAACGATTTTACTGAACTTTCGTTCAGTGAGAAAACAAAAACGAAATAGACGAATAAATTACCTTGAGAACGACCGAAATCAATTCTTTTTTAAACGTCGAAAAAAAACGAACAAAATGTACGAACGATGAACAAACGAAATGAAAAACGAACACACCCATCTCAAAGCCAAAGTACATCTGATCAGAACTTTTTAAAAGATATCGTTATCAACAATTACCTTTTATTAAGAAATGCAGTTTTCCCTTTGTTTAATCATTCCAACTTGAAAAAATACTTTTGAGATTATAGGGGCACCGGGACTTCTGATGGGAATTGTTTTGAGGTAACTTTTTTAAACATTTCAGACGTTTCACAAAAATGTGAGTTATCAATTACATTACAAAATTTAATTCTAAATAAGTTTGCGTTAATTACATCATTATGCATGGCGATTTTGTTCTCTGATCAAAGATATCAACAAGAACGATTTTCCAGAACGTGTTTTCTAACCGCCTTGAACTATAATTTATGTTAATATATTTAGTCAGAGAACCTTTTTGTATTATGTTATGAATATTTAAAAACGACGATGCTATTAGTATTTAGTACCCGGGACCCCCCTCCCCACGTTGTAAAATGAAATCAACCTGTATTTGACACACTGCTGTTCACTCTCAAACATCATCAGTTTCTCTAGTACATGATGGTGGGACGCGTAGTGCATCAATAATGCCTTAAAAAGGACTGTTTAAGCATAATTTCAAGTCAGCCTCCATTCCAAGATGCAATGCCTAATTCACAACGGCACCCTTAAAACATTTATTTGATCAATAATGTGGAAGATATTGCTGTTTTACAAATTTAAAAATGTTTCTCTCTCTCTTGACAATTCTTAAATATTTTCCTGCAGTAGAAATGCAAGTAGAGAAATTACAATTGAAATGTTTTCTAAATACGTTGATACCGAAATCATACTTGACGCCGTTGGGTGCCGTTGTGAATCGGCCATTTCCATCTTTGAATATAACCTAAAATCAATATTAGAGTCCCTTGAATCACAAGGGTGTAACCAAAATAAGGCTTAATATCAGGACTAAGCAGGATGCAGGAACAGGTTTATATTGTAGATAAAAAGACAAGGGTGTCACAAAATAAGGTTTAATATCAGGACTAAGCAGGATGCAGGATCAGAGGCCGAATTTAAAGAATTTGAGCCGCAGCTTAAATTTAAGCCGCGACTCAAATATGGTTGATTCCACTTAAAACCGTATTCAATGTTTCAAGATTTAAGCCGGCGCTCAATTGAAACCGGTTTTTGGGGGATTTGAGACACGGCTCAAATTCATTAAATTCGGACTCGGTTTATATTTTAGGTAAAAAGGAAAATCCCGACCTTTTTTAGAATACATAAACCCTAACTACCCTACTTCTTTTTTTACACTTTTTGAAAATCTTTTTTTTCTCCCTAGAATATAGTCATGTTTACGCAGAACACAACACTTTTTTAAGGGTTTATTCGCTAATGGAAAATAAAAGCACTCTTATTTTTGACACTATCACCGTGAAATTTGTTGACTTTTAATAAAAGAATTAAAATTTTTAATTTTCTTTAATGAATAAGGTAGGACACATTGCGGTAAAAAGTTCGGTCCGTGTAAAAAATTCTAAAATATCACATGACGTTTTGTGACAAAAGTTTAAGATCTAAAAACTATATTTTTAAAAAGCCCTTGAAAAAGGAATGTAGATTGTAGAAACATGTGTCACATTTTATAACCTTTTTTTTGCATTTTTTTCAAGTCTCCTTGGCACCCAAACTGTTAAAGTTATCTGTCTAATCTTTTTTTGTATGAGCTGTCATTGAAAAATATGGCTATGAACATGCATTTCAAACCTTAAACTGTAATACCTTTATCTCGGGAAGGGGCTTGGGACGTCCCCTCCCCCCAGGCTATGCATAGATTTAGACCCACCAGCCTTTAAGTGTAAATTAAATGAAACCCTTGACCTCAATTCCTTTACCTCAATACTGCTCCAAAGTGTACCGCTACAGGTGGGGAAAGGACAGCTTGGCTAAAATATTGTGATATTTTAGATTTCAATTTTTTTAAAACGTATAAAACCTGGGAGAGAAGAGCTTCAAAATTGATGCAAATAAACTCATTGCTTATACCGTTAGTATAAGCAATGAATTTATACAAATAGTAGAGAACTCTCGATTATAGGTCTTAAAATTTAAATTTAACAATTAAACTTGAATTTCCAACAATTAACAACAGAAAAGTGACTAAAAATAACAGAAAAGTGACTAAAAATAACAAAAAAGTGACTAAAATAAACAGAAAAGTGACTAAATTAACAAAAATTGACTAAAAATAACAGAAAAGTGACTTAAAAGAACGAAAAAGTGACTAAAAATAACGGAAAAGTGACGAAAAATAATACAATAGAAGTGTATTAGATGAAAGGAACTGATTGATCGGCTAAAACTCTAATAATTGTAGTATCAAAGATCTATGACATCAGGTCGCAAAGATGTGGATTATAACAGAACATGAGAAGTTATGGCTGGCAATTTAATTTCTTATCAACATTCTGATCCTAATTCAAAGTGCTCATATTAAAAAAAAATTATTATCAAACTTTGGAGTGTAACGTGAAATTACATTAGTTTTTCAAATTGCTGATTATTTTTATAAAATATTACCAATCCTCCCCGCCCTCCAGTATTATCCAGTCCTGTCAACAGCTGGTGTCGAAAATGGGCCTAATAAAAAAATAAGTTATTTTTCACAATCGATCAAAAATTTATTAATTGATCGTCAAAACGAACAAATTAATCAATTGTAGATCACTTATTGTACATCAAAACTATAAACCAAAATCTAGCATAATCAAATATTTATATTTATTATAATGGACTTCAGTCTTTGATCATCAGGCAAACCTTATCAATTGATCTGCGACAAAATTACATTTTAAAATTTATCAAATTATCAAATATTTAAAATGTAACCAATCATAAAATTCAATCTTAGAACATTAAATGAACATAATTAAATTCAAAAATATTCATTGTGAAACCAAATATACCGAAAATGGGTATAATCAAATAATCAACCGTAATCAATCACAAAATCAATCTTTGATCATGAATCAGTTATAAACTCAAACTAAATAATCAAATAATTTCACCAAATAAAATCACATAAATCGATTCCAATCCAATCGAATCGATTAAATTCCAAACAAACCAAACCAAATAAAATCTTCCTGAAATGAGTTGATAATGAATACAAAAATCAAAGATTAACCCAGATCGACAAAATCAAAGCTGAATAAAAAATGCCATCTACTTCAGAGTCCGAATTTAAAGAATTTAAGCCACGTCTCAAATCTCCCAAAATCCGGTTTTAATTGACCGCCGGCTTAAATTTTGGAAATGTTTATACAAAGGAATTGAGTTTTTGCCGTACACTCAAATGTTCAAATCCCTATATCTATGCAACCTTACGGTGTAGACCTATGATATTTCAAACTTAGATTATTTGATCCAACAGAATTCATAGTTTAAAATATCAAAGGTCTATGACGTTGGGTTGCAGAGATATAGGGATTAGAAAATAGGAGCTTGTGGCAAAGACTCAAATCCTTTAAGTGGAAATACAATCTACTGAAACAACAAGCAACAATTACTATTTGAAATAATTGATTAATAGTTTTCAAAACAAAATGATGATATCTTTTTCGAAAGAACAAAAAAAATAACTTTATTTTTTTCAAAATATTTTTTATTGTTATAATTGTCTAACCTCGATAAGATGAGCTGTGTATGTGGCATAATTAGGAAAACTGGGTGCAGGACATAACTAATATAAAAATGGAATAAAAATATTAATTATTTTTACCATTTCAGAAAATAAAATCGGAGACTGAAACTATAGCTCGCTATCTTCAGTTAATGATTTATGTATTTTATATATGTATGTATTATGTATTTCAGGAAAATTAAAGGGGGTATAGGCTGAACCCTAAACACTTTAGGAGTTGATCGCGATCTACATGAGTTCTATCTGATGTTCCTGTCTCGAGAAATTGATACAAAACTGTGTCAAGGTTATACCAAAACTTATGTATATGAGATGTGGTATAGGAATCAAAGTTTTAGACAGATAATATTCAGCAAAAACGCAACGAATCTGAAAATTGCGATAACCCGGAGGAACTTGAACAGCTCATAATTTGAATATATTACTTAATAATTTTCAATAGATATAATTTATACGTCTGTATCACGTGACCAGAATTTCCACCAATGGCAGTAAAGTATCATTGTCACTAGATACAGACGGAGAAACGAAAAGATACAATATTTTCTATAATGAAAACTGTCTAATTAAAGATAAGTTCCTCTATAGTTCTAGTGTCTCAAGCTGATGAGCCAAATTTCAATGTTCAAAAGAAAGCGGACTTTTCACTTTGTTCACAAATTCCAAACTCTGATACAATTATTAAAATTTAGATTGAAGTGATGGATTGATAGTACCCCCCACACCCCCCATCTTTTGTACAAACCAACTATTCTAAGTATTTTTAACATATGATAAAAAATAGCATTTAATACAATAAAATTATTGAAATAGGTTGATATGATCGAGTATTATTGATTAGTTGATTGAACACCTGACAGTAGAATTCCACAGCCTCTCTTGTAAGTATACTCAATGGTACTCTGATATTCCTCCCATGCCTAAACATCACAAACTGACCTCCATGCAAAGATGGCCATGGTCGATTCACAACGATACTCTTGAAACATTTATCTGATCAATAATGTGGAAGATATTGTCGTTTTTGGGTTTAAAAGTGTTTAATTCTGATAAATCATATATGTTTTCCTCCAGTAGAAATGCGCAGAAACCACAATGGAAAATAATCAGTGAATCTAGCATTCAGTATTGCCATCTTTGCAGGAGGTTCCCTTTAATAACACCATGATAATAATTCCTACGAGTTTAGGAATTCCTTTATTACATTTTATCCTCATAAGATTAATATTATATCATATTTGTGAGGTTCCATGAGTACATACCCAAGAAATTATATTTAATAACTTCTGGTGAAAAAAGACTATTTCAAGTTGGAAGAATATGATAATCTTATGAGGAAAAAAATGTAATAATGGAAATTCTNATAAGATTTTATATTTCAAGTTGGAACACTTGACATTATGAAGGGTTGCAAATAAGATTTTATATTTCAAGTTGGAACAATTGACATTATGAAGGGTTGCAAATAAGATTTTATATTTCAAGTTGGAACAATTGACATTAAGAAGGGTTGCAAATAAGATTTTATATTTCAAGTTGGAACACTTGACATTATGAAGGGTTGCAAATAAGATTTTATATTTCAAGTTGGAAAATTGACATTATGAAGGGTTGCAAATAAGATTTTATATTTCAAGTTGGAACAATTGACATTATGAAGGGTTGCAAATAAGTTTTTATATTTTTTAAATATTCTCTTGGTCTGGCTATCACTGTATTTTAATTTTCTAATGTAACAATGCTAAAATGTTAAATCCCTTTTAGAAGTAAAAGTTGATTCTTCATTTGAAAATAATGCATGTGGTGTGATTGGTTTCTTAGGTTGCTATCGAACCGAACAGATATGATATAATAATTAAGACGCTAGACAGGGGCAAAGAGAAAGCTCTAAGGAGAGCTCAGAAGCAATTTTAATAAAATTTGAATTCCTTCTATAGAACTAGCTTTGGAGCTGTCCTTATTTGTCAGAGCAGCTAATAAACGAACGGACATTTTTTTTTAGCTAGACTTGCCCTTGAATTTTTTTAATTTTCAGAATCCTCTTCATCGAGTTTTTTATTGGGAAATAAAACAATTAGAGAAAGATATGTTTTTTATATTTAAAAGTTTCCGAGTCGGTTCTTTAAGAAGTTTCCGAGTCGGTTCTTTAAAAATTTTCCGAGTCGGTTCTTTAAAAAGTTTCCGAGTCGGTTCTTTAAAAATTTTCCGAGTCGGTTCTTTAAAAATTTTCCGAGTCGGTTCTTTAAAAAGTTTCCGAGTCGGTTCTTTAAAAAGTTTCCGAGTCGGTTCTTTAAAAAGTTTCCGAGTCGGTTCTTTAAAAAGTTTCCGAGTCGGTTCTTTAAAAAGTTTCCGAGTCGGTTCTTTAAAAAGTTTCCGAGTCGGTTCTTTAAAAAGTTTCCGAGTCGGTTCTTTAAAAATTACCTGGTTCTCGCAGTGACAAGTGGTTTGATAGGCTCCTCTTGATTAAACAATTTAAGTGTTCTTTTTAACGCATAAAAACAAACATCCCCCCCCCATCCTAAAAATGTTATGTTTTTCTGTAATTTAAGATAGATTAGAGCGAAACATTCATTGTTAAGATTGAAATTTCAAAATCTGTGAGAATTATACTTATATAAAAATTATATTTACTAAATATTTATTCCAGGTAAAATTGTTAAGTTGGACATAGTTTCCACATTGAAAAGTGAAAAAGTGGATATTAAAAGGAAAGGTTTTTCATTCCTTAAAAAATGTGTACAGGGGGGGGGGCGGGGGGTTACCCACCAAAAACCCCTCCCCATTGTGAACACTTCTGATAGGATGATATATGTATAGTGGTATGCTTAGAAACATATAGATGGATCCAAGAAATCTTTTACCTTTATTAGTTAAAAATTTACTGTCAATCGTTCTTAAAAGTTTTGAATTTTTTGTTAATTGTCTAATTAACAACTTTAAATTTATTGTTAAACTTCCCTTTCATAGTTTTAAATTTATTATTGAACTTCCCTTTAAATAGTTTTGAATTTATTGTTGAACTTCCCATTAATAGTTTTGAATTTATTGTTGAACTTCCCTTTAATAGTTATGAATTTATTGTCGAACTTCCCTTTAATAGTTTTGAATTTATTGTTGAACCTCCCTTTAATAGTTTTCGAATTTATTATTGAGTTTCACTTGAAATAGTTTTGAATTTATTGTCGATTGCCACTTTAATAGTTTTGAATTTATTGTTGAACTTCCATTTACTAGTTTTAATTTATTGTTGATTGTCACTTTAATAATTGTGAATTTATTGTTCCCTAAAAGCAGAAGCAGTTCTCCTTTCTCCAGATATAGATTCCTAAAATTTACAGGGCATGAACATTGTACAGTTTGTAAA